TGGTGTGTTTTAATGAACTGATTGAGTTGTTTGATACTAAGTTTAACTTTCAGTTGTACCTGTAGAGGTTTACTGTTTGTAAAATTATTATTTTAACCTTTGAATATATGCTTCACTGAAGCTTCTTCAGCTGTTGTTCTACTATGGCATCCCCATCCCACAAAAACATGCATTTGAGAATTGAGTTTATTGAACAACAGCTATGGATGTATGTATGAATGGTATGAATGGATTGAAGGAATATGGTTTCTATATTCTGTACAACTATTTTGTCTAACTCTTTCCACCCAAACCTGGGTAGCCTTAATTTATGACTCTGAAAATTAAACTAATAAAATGTCGGCAGTGGTGGCTTGATGGTTAAGGAAGCGGACTTGGGTCCAGAAGGTTCGAGTCCACCAGCGGCCAGTGAGGTGCTCTGAGCATGGCACTGTCCCCTCACACACACACTCCCATAATCTCCATCTTTTAAACATTTAGACTTTTCCAATATTTATGGCATTTTCAAATGTAATAACAATAGTGCAGCTATGTAATTCATGATGATTCATCGGTCTGTGTTGACCTTAGTGAGAGACAAAGTGTGTAAAGTTTAATGAGCTGCAATTGTAGCTGATTATAAAATGGTGTCACAATCGAGGTGACATAAATTTCACCGTCACTTTTCCAACGACTTTGTAACCACATAAACGACTCTAAAGTATAAAGATGATGAGTCTCCTCAACCCGGACCAGAGAATTTGGAGCATATTTTCTCGAGTCGTGAATCATTAAAACCTCATCTGGTCTGTGGCTAAAATAACAACCCAGCTGTGTGAAGCCCAATGCTTTCTGGAAGTTTTCTGCAGTGACTAATTCCTGATACCTGCGAGCTAAAATAACTTCCAATTGTGTGCAACAAAACAATGAGCTTGAAAACAGGACGACACCTGACAACCTTGGGAAAACACGTCACAGACAAAAACATGTCAGTGTAATATACGTAAACAGGATTTGACTTGTTTGTAAATGAAAGGACTTGTTGTGATGTAAAGCTAAATACCTTAGGTAACAGTAAGCCGCTTTTACTCCCGGCTGGAGCACTTCCTATTAGACTTCCACCTTTCTTTTTTTGAACGGACCAAAGCTGTTTTCACACTCGTACAGTTGGTGTGGAAGGAAACGATTCATGGTTTGTCACAGCTAATTAATGGCAGGAAAAGAGGGTCTGGGTGTTAAATGTTGCCATATCCTGTTTGGGTCTGCCGTCCAGGTGGTTCAACACGAGCAAAACCGTATGACACCATCTCCCAGAATCCTCCTGCCGAGTCTTTCCATTTCTGTTTCGCTCTTATCGGTTGTTGGTGTTAGAACCCAGCACCAGCAGTCTGTGGACCACAGTATAAGACGGTTCATGTGACAGAGCGTCCGTCTCTGAGGAGTGAAGTGATTAACTCAGGTCTTTAGCAGAAACGCTGGTTTCCCTGAAGAGCTCTAACTATTGTTAATGAGATCCTTCAAAGTGTGGGGCTCCCTGACAGGCCGCCGCAGTGGAGGGGAAACCAACGCCGCCCCAACAATGATGAATGGATGTCATTAATGTAGTTCATCTGTTTACCTTTTACTCAGCAATCTTAGGAAAATGGGGGTGAGGGGGGTCAACGGCAAAAAGGGAGAAGTGCTTACTTTGGCACCGCGGCTCCTCGTAGCCACACATCCAGAGACACAGCAGGCCGTTCCATCCGCCAGTCAACGCTGCTTCAATCATCAGCCTTATCACCGAGCTGACACAGACAGGAGCTTCTGGTTTCGAATGTTTTCAAACACTGCAGTACATGAATAATTGACAAATCATTGCCCCCCCCCCCCCAAATAATTCTAAATATCTGAGAACAAGAGGGAAACGGAAGATTAGATTAGTTTCCTTTAGAAGCATGAAATAATTAAAAGCCCCAGAAGCCCTGGTTTTCACGGGGTATTTCCACCCGTGTTTAGTCCATCCGTATAACATTAGGTCATGTTTACACGACTGCCATATGATGTGACTACGGAGCCTCCAGATAATCAGCCTTTACTGGCACAAAGAAATGCTTAAACGTCTGAATGCGACTCTGGTTCCTGTAGTACATATATCAGGCCTGTATGTGGCACTGTGTTAGTCACGCTCTAACATGGTAATGAAAACTCTAAAAGAATCAACAGAGTGTGCGCATATGGCTTACAAGAGAAGCACGAAAAGACGGAGATGGCTAAAGTAGCCAAAGAGGTTTCTACATCATGGTCAGAAGTTGTATGATCTCCGCCATTGTTGTTACTGTGTGGTGTTGAGCAGCGTTACTACGGTAAAAGGTTACAGAGAGGTGACACAGTTAAGTGATTTCTAGGTGTTTTCCCCGTTGTAACAGAGGAAAAACATAAGATGACTTTTTTTTTTACAAAGTAACAAACGTTGTACCACTGCCCAGCATTCACACCTGAGACTCTTAACACCTGAGGTAGAAAAGAAAAAAAAAAGACAATGAGATTATGGTGTTGAGCCGAAAATGAAGTGAGAGCTGGTTCAAACTTGATTTATGCAAATGCACAGACAAGACAGTGTCGGCTGATTGGACGTACCAGTCATGGAGCGTCTTTGTGTGAAGCATGAGGGATGAGTTTGGTCACAGGAGCCACAGGTTGCAAACCTCCGCTCTTAGCCTTTAATCCTTTTCAGGATCACGGAGAAGCTGAAGCCAAACTTGGGTGAGTCATTGGGGGAGGTGAGGTTACACCTTTATTAAACAAGCAGAGAGACATCAGGAGATGAACCCAACCCTCTGTTAACGCAATGGATTAAAAAGCAGCACTGCATGCATCTTCAAAGTGTGGCCCCAGGACCCGTTGTTGCACATCACTGGGGTTAAAGGGGTCAAAACTCCCGTCACTAAAATCATTCTAATGCTGTGTCAGCTCAAGTTCAATTGATTTTTTTTTCTGTTTTATGAAACTATAATGAGCATATCTTGTTGTAAAATCTGGCCGATGATTTAGCAATTTTAAACAATATTAGGTACAACGAGACTTCATTTAGCAAAAGTATATTTTTTGTTACTGCTAGCAACTTCTTATTCCTTTGTAAAGCACTACTTTACTTCATATTGCAGTGATTTTAGCGTTTGCCTCGGCTTGTTCTGTGCTGTAGAATTTGACTAAATATTAACCGAGATGTAAAATTTGTCCGTCTTTGTTGTCTAATTTTAATCGTAGATGTATCACAGTAACTGGTTAACATATAGGTATAAGGTTAACTACTCCTTATGTTGGTGATCTTCAACTGGCGGCCCTTGGGTCAAATCCTGCCCACCAACGCATCCAATCCGGCCCACGTCTGAATTCCAAAATTGCTGAAAAGCTGAAAAAAAAACAATAACTGAGACATAAACAACTATGATTTAGAACTCTTTTTACATTCCATTAGACGAAAATATTTAAGTTTCCAGTCCAAGGTGTTAGTGTTTGTCCAGAAAAATTCTGTAATCCCGTTTAACTAATATTGCACAAACATATTTTCTGAACACAACTGAATTAAAAAAAGAAATAACCTGCATATGGTAGAAAATTAGAAATAAAGTAGGAGATCATCTACAAACATCTTACCAAACTGAAGGCACGTCTGATCGTGGTCCCCGTCTGTCTGTGCTGAGCGGTCAGACTGGGATGATAGGTGGAGGTGAAGGTGGAGGTGGAGGTGAAGGTGGAGGTGGCCCATTCACTGTCTCAAGTGTTTGAGATGTTTGAGAACACCACACGCTTCAGTGTGGTCGGTACAATAGCCGGGGTCAGCAGAACCATTCAGCAGTGCTGGAGGAATGTGTGGAAGCCCACAAGGAATCCTTTGGTGTCTCCCTGAAGATTAACTCGTATGTGTCAGCCCTAACGGAATCTTCCTCTCCTGTCGGAATGCTGACGCCTCAGAGGAAAATCCCAGTGCATTCTGGATCCTGCGTGAGCCGGCGACTGTGTACCGTCCACGTCAGGGATGTAAAATTCAATGTAATGTTTACTTTGCCTCACATGCAGAGAACTCCAGGGAGGAGGATTTGACAGTGAGTCTGTGTGTAACATAAATCAGTTGTCAGGGAGCGGTTGTTTTTACACGGTCAAACCACTGGACCCTGAACTGTACCTGTTTTGTCCGGTCGAGGACGTTTTGTCCAGGTCTGGATGATGGGGACGAAAACGTATGAACATTTAAAACCGTATTTTAAAGGATGAAGGAGGCTAAATGAAACAGTGGTTAGAGCTCTTGCCTTACAGCGTAAACGTCAGCAGTTTGAACTCAAGGAGTAACTTAGGGATTTTTTATTGAGTATTGAGTTTGTTGACTGAACTGTGCAAGTCTTGTTAGCTTCTAGAGTTCTAGATCTGGGAATGGAATAGAATTGACACCAGAAAAGTTCATATTAGACAGAAATTCTGTTCTTACATTGTACCGTATATAAAAAATGGGGGAAAATTGACCACATTCAACTTGTTTTACAGCATTAGTGTCAGTGTATAATCACTTGCTTACCACATTCAACTTGTTTTACAGCAACATTAGTGTCAGTGTATAATCACTTGCTTATTTCATTCAAGCATTACAGCAGTAGTACACTTATGTCCAGTGTGCCATAATCCATTGAAAGACCCTCAGCACCTCACCGCGACCCACCATGGGTCCCGCCCCACTATTTGAGAAGTACTGAGTTAAACAGTAATATTCAGTATTTAGAGGGAGGTAGACGTCAGGCTGGAGGAGAGATAGAACATATGAGAGCAGCACATTAGAAATGTAGGTGATTAACTTATTAAGAGAATAATTATTTTTTATTTTAGACCCAATCCTCCAGCACCTACTGAATGAACTGTTATAATATTACAACAGCTGTGACAACCGCTAGAGTTATCACCACTCTACAACTTAAAGGTCCTGTTCAAACCCCCTCCTCTCTTCTCTCCTCCTCCCCCACCCACCTCCCCTTCTTCCCCCCTTTTCACAGAGCTCAGGGGAGACAGATGATGAAGAGGAGGACAGAGGAAGGGGAGGAGATTGAGATGGCCGGCTTGTGAAAAGGTAGTGTGGAGCAATTAGAGGCAAGTGTGTGTTTCTGCAGCCTGGAGCTGGGATCTGGAGTGAAAACTGAAACTGCAACTACATGTGTGTGTGGGGGTGTGTGTGTGTGCGTGTGCTTCAAGACAAGTCAGCATTTGAAGACTGAACAAACTCCCGCTCTATTCGCTTTGTAATTGATGAAAATCAGTCTTTTTCTTTGTTTCGTCTCTGGACCAATTTTATTCATCAGCGACTCCAGCGGCGGAGAAGAACCTGCAGGATTACAGACTACAGCACTTGAACTGAAGCTGATTTTGAGTTTGATTTTTTTTTTTTTAATCACTTTTGTCGGATTTTGTTTGAGTTTGATTTTTTTTAATCACTTTTGTCGGATTTTCACCGGGAGCCGGCGCCTCCCCTCCTCTCTCCTCCCGTAGACTTCGCGAAATGAAACTCGGCTTCGTCATGGAGACGGCGGTGGCGCTTTATCTGCTGCTCTCACCTGCACAGGTACCGACACTCACGTCACAGAACCGGGAGAATAGTTGTGCAGCTTATATTCACACACGTCAGTATAAACGGTAAAAACTAATATTCTTTGTCCGTCGTTGTTTGATAACCTTTGCTTGTTGTGTTTCATCACAACTTCACCGCTTACCTTTGGTGAGACGCAATTCACACGTCATCACGTCGTACGTTTTATCCATCAGTCCTAATCCAAACAGGTTCCTCTGTTTGACGTCATTTATATATAAAACAACAGAACTAGAAATATCACCACGACATGTGTTATATTTAAATGTATTTATGTTGTTTTAAATGTGAAAACTTGTAAAAACTTTTTTTTTATTATTTGCCCTATTCACTCAAACTCCTGGCCCGCAGGCCAGAAGTGACCCTCGTACCTTCAAAATCCGGCCCACAACTAGATGTCACTCATGATTTAATTTTGCTCTTGAGGATTTTTAAAATGTTATTCTATAATTGTATTTATAGAATACAACAAAAATACCCTGACTTTTTTTTTAAATATCAGGGTTTTGTAGTGAATATGGTTAAATGATGTGACTCTCGAGTGAAACAACAGTGGCTGCAGTGGAACCCTGGCTTTAGGGATGAATCAGTTTGGATTAGTTTGAGCTGTTAGTGTCCAATATTACTGGGCTTGGAGCTGTGATGATGATGATGATGAGGAGGAGGAGGAAGATGATGACTTAGTCCTACTTCACCAGCACCACACTCTTTACTCTACTGTTATTGTAGAACATGACATGGTGCATTCCTCCCTGTGGAACAGTGGACCAGTGGAACATGTGGTACAAAGTGACTCACAGCTGTGTTTGACTATGATTTCTCACTATGTAATTACAGTTGTTACTGTTCAGACGACCAGCTCGCTCTGCTGTAACGAGCTCTTAAACTATTCCATTTCCGTTCATATATGAAAGTTTATATTTCTAGAGCTCGAGGCAAGGTGACCTGGAAATGCCTGATTCTGTCCTTGAAATCGACATTTGCAAACCTTACGTATGTGCTGGGAAGTTTTATTTTCATATTGTTGCCTAATCCTTGCTACCTGAAGGAATCCACGTCCATGTCTGTGTCCCACATGGTTGTTGTTGGGCTACACAGATATTAAGGGATTGGTTTTAATTGCCCACAGTAGGATTTACAGCTGTTCTCCAAATAAAACAATGATTTTAACATTAATGGCAACATATGACTATAAAGTCATATCGGTTCCACTGTTCTCGACTGACCCGCATGGGTTCCAAATTCAAAAAGCTGGCTGCATACTGTAGAATTGAAATTTTCTTAACTCTACAAACCACTGTATGAGTTGCTGCCCCCTAGTGACGGAAGGCTTGATTATCATTCAAACATTACAGCAGTAGCACACTTCTGTCCAGCGTCCCACTATATTCCACTACAAGCCCAACTCACGCCCAACTCCCCCCGGCCCTCCTGGCATCTCACCAAGCCCCCCTAGGTGCCCCGCCCCACTGTTTGAGAAGTATTGGATTAGTGTTTATGTTAAGCAATAGCAGTTTTTCAATTTTAGAAAAGTAAGGAAATTTAATTTGTGCATGACTACAACAGTAGGACTAGAACTAAATCCAAATCTAAAACACGTACCCAGGTGAAAATATTTTTTTTCCTCCTTATATATGTATGTACATATGTCAGTATGTATATATGGAGAAGAAATTCTCATAAAAACGCTGCATACCCAAAAGTATTTACTGGTAAAACATGAAATCTTTTCATCTGCAGCAGCAGTTTTTTTTCCACTTGGTGTGTGTGAGTGCACTTGAGTGCATTTAATAATAAAAAAACATTGCAACTTTTCTTCAGGCTACTCATATCACTGTCAGCTGACAGCGGATTAGCACAAAGCTCTTCTGTTTTTCCCCAGCGTCGCCTTTATAGTCGTTTTAATGAAAAAGTGCCAAAACAGGATGGAGTAGAAACTGGACGGAGGACTCATGTATCACGCCGTAGAAAAAGATGATGCGTCTTGTACAGCAGGACTCGTGCCAACACTCAGGCTCTTGAGCCTTTTCAGTCTCTGATTTCCTCCCCAAGGTGGCTGAGGGTTGGCAGCTGTCGCTGACACTTCTCATGTTTACGGCCCGAACAGCCCATTCCTGAGTCCTGTCATTGTTACTGTAACACTTCACACACTGCTCTTCAGGCCACGCTCCATATGTGGACGTGTTACACAATGTGGACTCCCAGAAGTTGAGAAAAATTGCTTCACATTCACTAAATCGTCCGACCAGAGACCCAACATCTGCTGCTGAGCTGAGGGTGAGCGTGTGAGGAATGGGATCACCAACATCTTCTCTAATCCTTATAATCAGCTCATGGGCCGCGTAGACAAAACAGCAGTAAAAACGTCCAAGAAACTCCACGTGTGTGCTCATTGTTCAACCACAAACGACGTCAGACCAACGATGGGTCTTCAGTCTCCACTCATATTGGCTGTAGATGTCAAAGAGAAACTGAAAATGTGTTTGGAGTTTGTTGCAAAGGAGCATTCGGAGTCCTGAGGCTAGAACTGATGACACTCTGGGACAGAACTGTGAGTGTCGTAGAGTTCAGTACAGCCTACCCAGTCTACCTTATATATATATCCTTATATATCCCATATATACCCCCAATTCTCCACACCTTCCAAAAAACAAACAAATGTAACAGGCGTTCTTATAAAGGCAGCAGATTAATCATGCTTAAATGACCAGAAGACATAAATATATCCTCAATGTATTTAGAAATAAAATGTCAGCTTTTAATTTAAAGTTTAATTAATTATGTCTTTATTGTGTAGAAAAATCCTAATAAAAAAAATTCTAAATGCCATCACATTGTCTTGTGCACCCCCTAGTGGCAGCTCTAAACTTTGGGTGATCCCTGGCCTATGAGAACATAGGTTCCTATAACCTGGGAAAGACATCATTTGTGACATATTTGCATAGCAACAAACCAAATTAATTCATGAAAAATCATGTATTGTAGTCACTAGATGGCACTGTGGTCAACGGGATTATCTTATTTTAAATTTATTGTTACATCAACATATCTTGGAGACAATCTCGGAAGTACGTGGCGAAACAGAATTTTACCATCAAACCCAGGATGAATCTGATGTTGGGAATGATAGGACGTTTATTTAACTCTTAATTGGCAAAAAATATAGGAGATAAAAATGTAAATCACTGATACGAGCTGTGTTGTGGTCGACTTTGTGTCGTTGTCGTTGTAAAAAGGGCGTTTTTGGTTTGTGTTGAGCTGATACTCATACCTGAGAATCTTGGCTAGCCTAAAGCTGTGGGATTTCCAGTGGGTTTTCCTCCCATTTTGTTGGAAGCGTTCGCACTTTCAGGGGAACCACAAGTGAACTGTAAAAATTAGACTTAATTGCTGCTCAGTTCTTAAGTCCTAACTGGTTGTTATCGCTTGGCAACGGCACACAGCAACCAGCAATAAGACAATAAGCAAGCTGCCACAAGCTTTACAGGCGTGTAGGGTAATATAAATCAAGGAGGGCTGGAAGAGCGACTGTATAAATTGTATAATGGTGATTGGGTGTAGTATTGAGTGTTTGAAAACCCATTTTCAAGCATGTATTAATCTGGAATAATACTAGATTGTGAAGTAATTTAGAATATAAAGTATAGTGTTTGAGAGTACACGTGAGCAGATTGCAGGTATCTGTGAACTTCTGTTTTTGTAATAATAGGTCACATTTTGATACCCTTCATAAGAGATCAAATCAGATTTTTTTTTGTTCTTAGTCAATTCTACCCAAACCTTTTGCTGCAGCCCACAAAAACTATATTTTCATTGAGCAAACTCCAAACCTTTTGCTGCAGCGCCACTTTTTTGTAGATAGAAACTCCACCTAATGTTAATAAAAAGTTACAAGTCCTACAAAAACTATATTTTCATTGAGCAAACAAATCAAAGCAACAGCTTTATACTCATTTTGGGGCCCTGCCCCCCGCTTTTGGAACCACTGCTGTAAGGCAACATACTAAGCACTCTTTTTGTGTGTGACCATCCTAAAGCATCAACTTGAAATGACCAGTTACCAGTATGAGTGACTCGTACTGTGGCTCAGTACCGGGTTCTTACTGTGTGTAGTTTGTGTTCAGTGTGTGTGAATGAAACTAAAGTAGAGTTGATATAGCACCACTTCAGATTGATCCCAGGTCTTTGTATGTGACCTGTTCAAACTGGTCCCATTACTTCTGCTTGATGTCATCTGGGATTGGCTCCAGCGCCCCCCTCTGTACTTAGGGAGAATCGTGCAGCAGCAGGTGACTGAATACGTGTCCTAATGATTTACACCCATGCACTTGTTCTGGTCACATGTCCAAACAGCATGACATCACGCCTGGGGAGGAAGCACCTGGGGTTTCCTCTCTGAACAATGGCGACCTTCCGTGAACTGTCCATATTTCTAGACACGTTCCTTCCCGGCTTACGCACGTCACCTATTTCACCGCACGTGCACGTTGGTGGTACGTTTGTGCACTTCCCTCTGAAGACTCAGATATGTTTGGAAACGGCTGCTGTACCTGTTGCCTCCTGTCTATTTCACAACTTTTCCCTCATCACACCAAAACCGCTGGAATGCGCACAAAGTACCTGAAGTTCCTCGTAAAACACAAGTGAAATCATGCAACTGCATGTACAGCCCAACATGACAGACATCCCTCATGAGTCAGCAGCCAGACTCAGAAATGATCAAAAATGACTCAGACCTTTCAAGGCAGAACAAGCGTGATAAAGATCTCTGGTATGAAGTGAAGTCGAAATCTTGAAATCTGTACGTCTGAATTTTTACTTTTAACGATGAAAGAAAAAATACTTTCAGAATGAAACAGACCTCAGGAGGTTGGGGCTGAGGCCAGTTTTGTCATTGGTTCCCATCCACTCTTCTATCAACTACACCTTATATCTGGTGTTTTGTTAGTGATGTTGTTTTGTCCATTGTTGCCTGA